TCCGGGTCCACTGGTAGAACCTCTTCTAACCGGTTCGGTAGATTTGACAAACCGGTTCTACCGAATAGGTGCGAACTGGTAGGAACCCACCTCTGCATCTGTCGGACTCTTCCCAGACTGTTTGTGAATCATTACGGGCTGTGAATGACCATAATCCACAGCCGTTTAAATAAAAGAGGGTTTTTGGGACTAAGCATGTGATTTATGCTTTGTCAGGAAGCATAAATCACACGTATTCCTTGATTTGGGGAACTACACATTTCCCATTCTTAAATAACTATCACATGGAAATGTGCCGATTAATATCAATAATTATAAGAGTCACATATCTTCTCAGCTGTGCTTGGCGTAGAAAAGAACCCATGCCTCATGGAAACGAAAACTTTGTCATATAAGAAACGGAAAACAGAGAAACAGAGTGTGGGTTGCATGTTCCAAGTTCATTAGTGAAATGTCGAAATAGTATCCAACACACATGGCACTTGTATCAGAATAAGCCTCCCGGATTTGGTAACCTTAAACCAGATTTAATTTTATCTTTTATTTGATATAGTAGGGTTTCAACACTTCCTCTAAATTGAATTGCGAGAATAAATCATGTTAGAAGGCTCAGCTACACAGCTGCTGTATTTTTCCCTCCCTCTGATCGCAAAACTTTCACTTCCTAATCACATGTGCTAGGTTGATTTACATAGGGATATTTTACACGCACCGTGATGGTTATTGACGAGGCTTTGAAAAAAGGAAAATTCCACCCTCCGATGGAAAAAGCTGAAGTTGTTTCGTGAATTGCCAGGCGACAGGCCACACATTCTTGAAAGCTCTGCTGAGAATCAAGTCCTTCTTCTTTTGTCCTCGGCAAGTTATTTATTCTTTTTCTTTCAAATGGAAAGCTGCAATTTCCTTTATGTGAACACCTTGGTGCAAGATTATCTGAAGTACATTTGTCAAGAGGCTCAACTCTCCGCAGCCCCAAACAGGGTGGCTGAAGTCCTTCGTAAAGCGGGATCGTCTGCTCAGAGAGAGGTAGAAGACAAGCTGAGACCTTACGTGGACTCACTGGAGATTCATTCGGTAGAAGGAGCCAGTCACGTTTTCAGCCAAGTGATGGAAAACGAATTTGTGGATGGCGAAATTAACTGGGGACGCATTCTGACAATATTCCTGTTCGGTGGCATCCTGGCCAAAAAACTCCAAGGACCGTTGGCAAAAGAAAACTTGAAACAGATCTCTTATTTCATCACAGACTATATCGTGAGCACCAAAGGAAAGTGGATCAACGAGAATGGAGGATGGGTAAGTTTTCTCAGCCCGAGTTTGCCTTTTTATTGTTCAGACGCTAAGTTTGTGTTCCGACTCTTCACAACCACATGGACCACAGCATGCAAGCCCTCCCCCTCCCCGCTGTCTCTCTGGGTCTGCCCAAACTCAAACTGACATAATCCAACATCTCATCCTCTTCTCTTTTCGCCTTCGCTGTTTGCCCTTTAGCTTCATTAGTTTTTCACGCAGAACGCGAGACCAAAACCTCACAGAACTTGATATCAATTTAATAGCTCATAATAATGCAACGCATTGATTTAACAATACTGAATTTTACTGCTGATCCCTCAGCGTCTAAGGTACTGTACTGTTTGCTTAAACCTTACCGTAAATCAGTAGTAGTGTATCCAGTGGTGGGATTCAGCCAGTTCGCACCACTCCGGGAGAACCGGTTGTTCACTGGTCCTGAACAGCTTGGTGAACTGGTTGTTGGGAGAAATCATTAGGGCAGAGAACCGGTTGTTAAATTATTTGAATCCCACCACTGATTGTTTATCCATAAATAAACGCCGAATAAATATAAAAGACATCTGTAAATCTACTTGCGTGTTGAAATGGAAAACTCACGTTAGTGACTAGGGCTTTGAATGAATATCTTAGTAAATACTGCCTTTATAAAGTACAACTCGATAGTACAGCCCAATAGAATCCTATCAAACATTCAAGGAGTTTATTACTATGCAAGAGGGGTAACATTATTCCTAAAAATCAGAAAAATTCAACAGTGTGGTAATAATACTGCGGAACTCAGTGGAATTTTTTTCTGAGTGGGTAATTCGCATTTATTACTAATTCTCTCTCTCTCCCCCCCCCCTCTCTCACACACACACCTCGTTTATTTTAGTTTATTTAATAGACTCCTGCAGGCCGCTAACAGGCAACAAGTTACATATTAAATCAAACTCTGGCTTGTCTTTGAGGTTTTATGTTTGCTAATTATTTGCCTTGAAACACAGCAAAAGAAACTTGCCATAGCAGAAGAAAGAAGACACACGTTAACATATTCCCCATCCTCATCGGAACAGGAACTTGCAAAATGCCTGTTGTTGTTTTTTTTTTCGTGTTCCCAAGAAACGTGGCAAAAGGGTGTGATATTGGCAACCTATAATGCAATCCTGAAAATATTGATTCTCAATTAACTGCAGGCTTGCTGGGATCTTTCAGACAGGAGCCTCTCCCCCCCCCCCCCCAAATCATTTCAGGGACACTCTCAGTAGTCAAGGAAAAGAAAAATGATCCTGCATTTAAGAAATCAGAATTCCCCATCGATGAATCAAATAGAAAAAAGGCTCCTCGCAGCTGTATTCTCTGCAAATCTAAGATGACTTTTTCACTTTGATGTTTGGGGGAAAACCCTAGTCTTCCTTTCAGGGAATTATAACAATTCTCAATTTCTGTATATGATGGTTTCCCTATTCATCTTGATCTGCAGTGAGATTTCTGGTGGGTGTAACCGAGAGCCACATTTGTCTCATCAACAGCATATGATGTTTCCCCCTTGGAGTTTCCATTTAATTTCTGCAAAATAGAAATGGCAACTGAGGGCAAATTCCTCCCAAATCATTTGAGCCCGGCTAATAAATTGCACCTCGTTCATGGCGGTCAGCTTGGCTTCAGACAATGTACTGAGGCAAAATAATAACCCAAAAGAACCGGGCTTCTGTTATACTATTAAGCTCCAAATAAGACTTAATGGCATTCAATACTAACAAAATTTAACGTGCAATGTGACATCACTTTGCTCTTTGGTTGATCTGGACAGTGTATTGTGTGAACAGTATGCCAAAAATGCCAATGCAATCCTAGGCTGCATTAATAGAGGGATAGAACCAAGATCACGTGAAGTTCTACTATGGCTTTACAAAGCCTTAGTATGACCACACTTGGAATATTCCATCTACTTCTGGCCACCACAGTAGAAAAAAGACGTTGAGACTCTGGAAAGAGTGCAGAGAAGAGCAACAAAGATGATTGGGGGGCAGGAAGTGGATATGTCTAATCTGATGAAAAGAAGGACATGGGGAGACATGATAGCAGTCTTCCAATATCTGAGGGGCTGCCACAAAGAAGAGGGAGTCAAGCTATTCTCCAAAGCACCTGAGGGTAGGACAAGAAGCAATGGGTGGAAACTATTCAAGGAGAGAAGCAACCTAGAACTAAGGAGAAATTTTCTTCTTTAGTGAGAATGATCAATCAATGGAATGGCTTGTCTTCAGATGTTGTGGGCGCTTCATCACTGGGGAGATTGGGAAGCCACTTGTCTGAAAGGGTACAGGGTTTTCTGCTCCAGCAGGGGGTTAGACTAGAAGATCTCCAAGGTCCCTTCCAAGTCTTGTTCTATGAACACAGGCAGTTGTCTTTTTGTTCTGATTCTGCCAGCAGCTTCTATGACCCTGTTTCATATTCTTCTTGCTGGAGTAAAAGTCTTGGAATTATCTGAGGGAAACCTTAAGACATAATTATGCATATATAGCTGTGGTGCATGTACGCATTTTTTAAAAAATTGCAAGCTTGCTGGTGGTTTTTTATTTTTTACTTGTTCCGTTACATTTCCGTTCACTCTTGATGGCAGTGTCCTACCTCCAAATCCACCAGATGGCAGCAATAAATCTCCGAAATCAAAATAAAACACTGCAATTTTGTTAAAACCTGGCATGATCAACATGCAACAAACATGGGCTTGAACCCTTGTGAAAAGAGATCTCATCAGATAAGGCTCATTTTTACAGTTCATTTGAAATATTTAAGGGATGCGGTGGCTCAGTGGCCAAGAAGCTGAGCTTGTCAATTAGAAGATCAGCAATTTGGCGGTTCGAATCCCTCGTAACAGAGTGAGCTCCCATTACTTGTCCCAGCATCTGCCAACCTAGCAGTTCGAAAGCATGTAAAAATGCAAGTAGACAAATACGCACCATCTTTGGTGGGAAGGTAACAGCGTTCCGTGCGCCTTCAGCATTTAGTCATGCCGGCCACATACCACAGCGACATCTTCGGACAGCACTGGCTCTTCGGCTTTGAAACGGAGATGAGCACCGCCCTCTAGAGTCAGGAACAACTAGCACATATGTACAAGGGGAACCTTTACCTTTACCGTGAAATATTTAAAAGTTATTATTTTCACAGGAAGTTTGGCCCCAGCGCCATAGCGCAAGACATAAGATACTTAGCAAGCAGATCCAAATGTTGTGTGATTTGCAAGCCACAACAGCTGGTTCACACAAGCACTAGGTGAAGGCCAAGTGTGGTTTTATGCACTATGAACAACTGTGTCATTATTTATTTATATCCCACCTTTATTTTTTGTACAAATAACTCAAGGCAGCGAACATATCCAATACTTTGAGTGCTCCCAGGATAATCAACCAGACTTTAATTCCCCCCACTCCCCGAAAATGGGGAAGGGTATTTATTCATTGCAAATTATGTATAATGAATTTTTATTTTATTTATTTTTGTCCCTTTATTAAGTGTTATAAATTACTCAAGGTGATGGACGTACCTGATACAGATAGTCCATGACTTACAGCCACAATTGAGCCCAAAATTTCTGTTGTTAAGTGAGATATTTGTTAGCTGGGCTTTGCCCCATTTTACGACCGTCCTGACCACAATTGTTAAGCGGATCACTGCGGTGGATAAGTCAGTGGCATGGTTGTTAAGTGAATTTGGTTTCCCCATTCACTTGGCTTGTCAGGTCGCAAAAGATGATCACATGACCTCAGGGCACAGCAACGGTCGTAAGTATGAACCAGTTGCCAAAGCGCCTGAATTTTGATCACATGATCATGGGGACACTGCAAAAAACGGTCATTAATCACACTTCTTCAGTGCCGTTGTAACTTGGAACGGTTGCTAACTGGATTGTTGTTAAGTTGAGGACTACCTGTACTCCTTCCTCCTCCTATTTTACCCACAGCGGCCCTGTGAGGTGGGCTGGGCTGAGAGAAAGGGACTTGCTCAAAGTCACCGGAGTTGGCTTTCATGCCTAAGGCAGGACTAGAACTTCTGTGATTGGCTCAAAGTCACCCAGAGAGCTTTTATACCTAATTAGAATTTACCACCTCCTGTTGTGGCCCACCAGCAGCCAGATGAGATGGCAGCAGATTCGGACAGTGGGGAAGTTGGTGAGGAACATGGGCCAGTCCTGGAGTCTGGGGAAGGCTCTGTGTCGGAGGCAAAGAGGGAGCCAGAGCCGTATGCCAGTTATCAGCTGCCTTCAGAGTCAGACATCAGTGAGGCAGACAAACAGCTGGAGCCTGTTCCCAGTGTGCGCATGCGTAGAGTTGCCAGACAAAGGAACAGCTAAAGAACAGGGGTCGACTTGGGAGTAAAGGCTGCAGGTGGACGGTGAATGGCCCCTCCCAGAGGGAATAAAAGAGGAGCGAAAGGTGAGTGGAGTTTGCAGGAGACAACTAGTTTGCTTCATTGGTTCGTGACTCTCCAAGACTCCTTGCCAAGTTTTGCAGATATCGTCCTGGCAGCTCTCCAACCCAGATAAGGTCT